CATTATTATTATTATTATTCAGGATAGCTTCTCACATTTCTGCTACCGCAGTTGTCAGTTGATTGGTCGAACCACCAACTTTAACATGAAAACTTGGCAAGTTGACTTGGGTGTCACACCAATAGGTGGTTCCACTTATGTCGCGCTTGGGTTCACGCAGTTATTTTCATCAAGTACTTTTCTTGGTTATTCACATTTTGTTTCCAATCAGGGATTGCCTGCCCGGTACTGACGATGCCCAATAGGCTGAAACACCTGTCTACCGGTGGCTCTCAAATTGCAATCAATATGAGAGTGATCAGAATGGTTCTTATCTATTTATCCTTAGATTTTCATGGAATTATCTTCCAGCAGCTTGACTACATTGATCTTTCTCGATTTCATATCATTTCTAGAAACATGAAACTGAATTGACAAAATGGTTCAAACTTTCGCGGCTGAGGTTTTCAGTATTATTGTTTTTCGTGTTTAGAAGCCGTGGATTTTTGGAATTTCTTCCTGACGTTCCGCTGGTGCGAGTGGCTAGCTTCTTCAGAGATTTAACCAGCATGGCTTGCTGTTCGATGAATAATGTTCCAGGTTCAAGTACAGGTACAAGTACAGGTACAAGTGCAGGTACATGTACAGGTACAAATACAGGTACCAATCCAATACAACTGGTTACCTGGCAAGGCATAAATACGCTTTACGAAGCCTAAAAGTTAGTTATCGGACAGCAAGCCATGATGGTTGAACCTCTGAAGAAGCTAGCCACTCGCGCAAGCAAATTCCAAAAATCCACGGCTTTCAAACTTGAAAAACAAGTATGAAACTGAATTGTTAAAATATTAGCTTTGCTGAAGTAATATAGGTCTAGTAGACATTGAGACATTCCCCTGAAATTATCGACGGAAACAATTAATTTAAAACAAAGAAGTTGAGGATTTTTGCGTTTATAAACCTATAAGTGAAACACAATTTTTTCTTCATTGTTTTTCGATAAATCGGATACGTATTTGAATTGAAAAAGAGTTTAGAGAGCTTATTCATTCAGAATGTCTTTATTTTTGTTCATTTGTCACTCTATGACAAACGGATACGAATACAGCTTACAGTAGTAGTTCCTGAAACTATTCCAAAAGAGTTTTTCAACGACAATATTGAAAAAAAAAGTAATTTTAAAAAACTCTGTGAAGTTATTTATACCATTTAAATGTNCTGAAGCAGTCTTATCATATAACTTATGATTTTGCCTAACAAATAAAATACATTTGAGAATGAAGATGGAGAGGGCTGTCAATATTTTTTTGTCTATAAAAACGGGCCGGCAGTTATCCCGGATATCCATATGATGCGTTTCCGTGCTATAAAAGCTCTGGGAAAATCCCTCGCTCTGCCCCAAGCCATATTATTCAAACTTATATGAGGGTAGGCCATGGCCATGAGTAAGCCAGTTTCATTCAAGCGGGATTTCAGCTGTTTTATGGCGTAATATGTCAATTCAAATAGGCGCCTAGGTAGGTCCTTGAAAAATTTTATTTCTTCAGAAGTTTGAATATTATAGCTAGAGCGTCAAACAATTGAAATATGTTTTCTGAAGTGAAAGATTTTGAAGTATTTAGAATAAGCTTATTTCTTTGACACCAGGTACTGAACTGATCAATAATGTGTTTAGATTTGCTGATGAGTTTCTTAGCATTATTGCCTGCTATAGATATCATTGTATCATCAGCAAACATTTATGTTTGCTTTATATGTTGAGGTTTATATGCTTTATATGTTGAGGAAGATCATTGGCATAGATGAGAAACAGTAGAGGGCCAAGAACAGAGCCCTATGGCACCCCGAGTTTTACCGTCTTCGACTCTGATATCGATCTATGGCAGATTACAACCATTTAACTGTTTGTCATGCTTGAAAGTGTTTAAAACAAGTTTCAAATGCATAGAAAATGAAATTGGTAAATATGACTCTAAAACTATATTGGGCATTCTTGGGAACTTGAATACTCTGGCTAATAGAAGATCACAATCAGATCTTACGCTTGTTGAACTCATAACTATAAATGTAAATCCAGAGAGAATAAGAAATACACAAATTTTCAAAGTACCCTTTCATCATCCATGCTAATATTTGTTAATGATTGTATATAATAATGGCTGCCTCATGTATTTTTTTTGTTTTATTTTTTATCATTATTAGCTTCAGCATGGCTATAACACATACAAGCAATATTCATATTGCTTCCGTGTTGCCGTGTTCATTCACATTTGTACCTTATTATATAAAAACTTTTTTTTCTGTGAATAAACATTATTATTATCATAAGCCCGAATAAAATTCCCTGCGATAATATCCACTAATGGCATTGTCACAAAAATGGTGCATATAGACATTGGTGCACAACTTTTAACAAATCATTCACTGTTTGTTATCATTCCATTGTTTTGTTTAAGTAGTACAGAAAATCATTATTATAATTCTGTTGGTTTGTTTAAGTGTAGATATTATTTTCAAAAAATTACACTGAATTGTGTTAAAAATAAAAAGTATCATAGTCACAGGTTGGCTTCTTAGCCTTAGTGGTTTTTTTATTCATTTCAAAATGTAATTCTTGTAGAGTATTGAATAATGTGATTCAACTTACTATACAGAGTGGTCCAACGAAAAGTATGCGCTTTGTTTGTCTCCTTTTTTGTAACTCAACGCAAAAATGCTCGGACAGGTCAATTTTGCTTTTGAGGGGGACAGATTTTGAATGTATTTTTCTACCAGTGCCTTCAACCCCCAAGCAAGGGTGAGTAACAACCCTAAAATTTTAAATAGAAAGTGGGATCGAGTGATATATCATTTGAAAGGGCACAAAATTATCTTTCCAATGATACCTAATTTGTTGTATTTCACTCAAACATGTAGGTATTATNTCCCCCTCAAAAGCAAAATTGACCTGTCCGAGCATTTTTGCGTTAAGTTACAAAAAAAGGAGAAAAGCAAGGTGCATACTTTTCGTTGGACCACTCGATATGTAAATCTACTCTAGCAACTTGCTATTGATATAACTGTACCTTTTTTATTTGAAAATAAATATCATACATTGACCACAATGAGTCTATAGTTGGAATTTCGAGGCTTGCTAATCTTACAATGTAGATTTAGAACTTTTTAATTCTTCTTTGGAATCAATTGATAAATTCTGTGAAATGATTGTGATTGTTTGGACTAATTCCGCCATTCTTATATTTTTACATTTTTCTCTCACATCTAGCCGATAGTTATAGTACTCACGAGTGAATTTGGAGCTACAAAACACACGCCATTTAAACGTGCAAGAATTTGGAAACAGTCTAATGTTATCATCAGCGTATCCTCAAGCTACAAAATGTGTCTAGTCAAACGATCTCCATCAGCTCATTATCAAAGTGGTTGTTTTCTCAATTAAAACAAACAAGTTTCATCACAAGACACATTTCACAATAGAAATTGAATTTTCTCTGAGCCCTCGGTAGACAAATTCTGTTCGACACAATGAAGTAATACCAACCTTAAGCTTTGTCTGTCTCCATTGGACATGAAACTATCTTCGTGGGTGACCGCTTCTGGCGAATCCCGACCACTCCTGAATAACGAATTGTTACAGAACAGCACCAAAAACAGTCTCTTGAACTTCTCCCCGAAAATGACGTAGATAATAAAGTTCACACTCGAATTTATGGTAACGAGCAAATTACTGACGTGAATTAAGTAGATTAGGTTGAATTCGATGAACACGTTGAACGTTTCAATTATGTTTATCACCAGTGGAAGGATGTTGCAGATGAAGAAAACTACCACGACCCCTAATAACATCGTCGCCAATCCAATTTCTCGCTTCTGATGTCTGGAAAGTCGTTGACGCTCTTTGTTTGCTCTGAGAACCTGGAACAAAGGTTGGGAATGTACGGATTACGTTGCCAAAGAGTGATGAACAGAATGGAAAATTGTTCTATTTTACTTTTATTCTAACAAACAGGGTGGCCCATCACTGAAAAGTAGTCTAATAACGCCCTTACCCGAAATTCAAAAGAGGTTCGAATGAAAGTTACAGCATTCATTTAGTATTAGCTCTGAAAGGTTTTTCTACCTCAAAAATCGTGATGAAACAGTGTAATTAAAAAGTGAATGAACAGTGAGTTGTTGGATTCCAATAATGTATGATTACGTTTTGATAAACATCAACAACAACAGAGAGAAAACTCATTACATATTTTACAGATTTTTTATGATGCATCAACTGAAACAATATCGTCAAAGAATGTAAACTTTCACGGCCGAACAACTATGATGCTGGTATTTGACTCTGGTTTTATATATGGAATAGAGATGGCGGTAGCCGTTTAATAAGTTTTACATAAGAAAGTACATAATCTACAATGCATGTGTTACAAGTTTGAAGATGCTGCGTTGTTTAGTATTTGTTTGGCAGCCATCAATAGCGAACGTTTATTCTGTATATTGTACAGGGTGGACCATCTAAAACTTGACACTGAAACAAATGTTGAAAACAAAATGTGGATTTTCCACCGCTCGTTCACTAACCAGCTCGCAAAATTGCAAGCGTCGATCGAAATCATCTTCATTCAGTTCTTGCGTTAATTTAATCTTGTAAGGATGCAT